CATTCACACACACGTGAAGAGGTTAGTCGGGTTCATTTGATTTTTTTTTTTTTTTTTGGGCGACCCAAGATTTATAACATTAAATGAATATCAACAACAATGGGCGACCGGAGAAATGAAATGAAATGAATGAAAGGAAAAAGGAAGATGACGAACAAGACAAAACGAAATAAAATGATGTAAAGATGCGCGATGCTCTTTCTCTCTCTCTCTCTCTCTCTCTCTCTCTCTCTTGTTTTTCTTCATCATTTTCAAGTGGGCGATCCAAGAAACAAAGAAAAAGGGGAAATTTTGATATATTTTTTAAAGGTTATTGCCATCGATTTTTTTGGCTTGTTTGTTTGGAACAGCAAAAGAATTCTCAGATCGATTCCGATGAAAATTTTTTGTAAAAATAGTTATATTGTAATAATTTCGGATGAAAAAACGAATAGAAAAAGAAATTCTTGAAAATCAAATAGGATTCACTTACCCTGAATGGATTAATCAATGGAATTTTGCAAAGAATTGATACGTTTGATGAGGGAAAATTATTTAAAAAAAAACTTAACAAAATGATTTTGGAATGATGAATAACAAGTGAAAAAAAAATTATCAATCAAATGGAAACGGATGAAAAAAACAACAAACAACTTTTCCGGATTCAATCATGAATGAATCTTGAATGGAATTGAATTTGTTATTTTGCTGTTGTTGTTGATCGTCGTCACCGTCATCGTTGTTTTTAACGAAAACCCGAATCTAGATCCAAATATGACGAACGAACAAGATAACAAAAAAACCAATCGACGTCAACTTTTTTTCATTTTTGAGAAGGAAAAATATAGATTGAACAACAACAACAACAACAACGAGAAAAACAACAACGGAAAAACAACCGAAAAGTAGTTTTGGATTACACAATGAAAAAAATGAATGAATGAAATGAAATGAAATTGTTTTCTTGTAATGCTGGTTGGTTGGTTTGGTTGGTCGATCGGTTGGCTAGTATCATGGATAGTATAACTGGTTCGGTTTTTATATTTTGTTTTCTTCTTCTTCTTCTTCTCTCAGCTAAAAGGAGAAAGAAAGAAAATGCAGCTAAAATATTCGTATTTTTTTTGCAAAGAGGATTTATAGACCGACGCCGTAGTAGCCGATTGACGCCATACACACTAAATCATTATTCAATATCCAAATAGAGAATGTCATCATCATTATGTTTAGTTAGTTTGCTTGTTTGTATGGCCATAACTGAAACTTGAAATCTTTTTTTTTTCTAGGAGTCGTCGTCGTTGTAGTTTTTGTCACAATATTCAATAATAATAATGATGATAATTTTTGGTTTGTGCGCCGACTATGGATTATTGACTTTTACATTTTGGTTTGGTTTTTTTGTTGGGAATTTTCTCGTTTCATAAATGTTTTTGATCCGGTTATTCCGGATTGCAGATTTCTATATATATCAAGCGGAAAACAAAACAAAATTCCCGATGAATATATCATTCGGAAAACATTATTGCATTGATATGATGAAATTTTCCCCGAATAAAATATTATTAACATTAAGTTCCAATTGGAAAATCAAACAAACAAACAAAAAAAAGTTTATTTTATTTTGACATTTTCAAATAAACAAACAAAATGATAAACAAAATGATGAACAAAATGATATTGATGAACAAAACAAAAAAAAACAGCAGAAAAACAACAGAAAACAAACAAACAGAATTTATTTGTTAGGTAATGTTGTTGTTGATGATATTTGACCAGATTTAATGATAAATGAATGAATGATAATAGGAAAAAAAGTTGATTTTTTTTTGTAAAATCCGATTAATCAGATATAATATAAATAGTAAGAAAAATTATTAAACCAGATATAGAAAATATAGTTGAAATATTAATAGAATTTAAAAACATAATAGCGCCAGCACTATTACAAAGATCACCTTTACAAAAACACATAAAAAATGTTTTACGGCTATTACTTAGAAATGTTTTCGAACAACGTTCTTTACCATCGCTTGGTGGACGTAATAAACACATACGTTCAGTTGCCATTATATGTGTACCTTCGGATTCATCTTCGATTGATTTTCCACACCAACCAGATGCACATGGTTGTATTTCAATTGGATGCGAACCATAAATACCATCAAATGTTGTTGCATTATATTCAAATGGATCTTTACCTGTGTTTTTTTACAGAAATTTTCATATTTAAAACAAACCAAAAAACCAACAAAAAGAAAAAATTACTTACAATCACCAAGATTACCACGTGAACGACATGCAAAACAACGTTTTCTTGTTGCTGATATTTCAGTTATCATCATTATCATTATAGAAAGAATAATGATTGTAAATATAAAACGAAAATCAATGAATTTTTTCATTTTACAAATTTTTTTTTTAAACAAATTTTATAATTCAAATCATATTACAACAACAGGAAAACTTTTTGTTGTTTTTTTTTCAATCAAAACAGTGGAAAATCATCATCATTTTACCAAAAACAAAATATGTAGAACAACGTTATAACGTGTTTTCTTGTGATTCATAAATGTTGATGTGTGAAAGATGGATGAACGAAAAGGACGGATATTATTATTATCCATGACACAAGATGGTCAAATCAAAAAAAAAGGTGAAATCAAGTTTTGTTTCTCTCTGTCTCTGTGTTTCCATTGGGAAAGCTTTTTTTCGAAAAATTGGGTCAAAATTTGAGTTTTAATAGAGAGAGGAAAAAAGAGACAGGAAAATTCTGTCGATCAAGATGAAGAGATCAAGAGAAAAGAAATCGGGAAATTCAGAAAAATAATAATGAAAAAAAAAGAGAAGCAACAGGTATTTGGTAAATGATTTAAAATGGATGATGGAAGAGCCATCTATGAATCAAAATTAATGTAATTTATTCTGGAATTTCTCTATGTCCGGCTATTAACCTTCAAAATTGAAATTATTTTCCGTTATTTTTTTAAATTGTTTAAACAATTCGACCAAATTAAATTTATTTTTTTTTTTGTTTTCGAAATGAACTTCAAAAATAATAATGAATTTTTGCCGTTAATGGCAATGAGGATTTTTGTTTGTTGGAAGAAAAATAACAACAGGAAAAACAAGGTAGAAACAAACAATGATAGACTTGTCTTGATCAACCTACACACACACACATCGAATCAATGATGATAATGATTGAATATAGACAAAAAGAACATTGTTTTTTTTTCTTTTTCTTCTTCTTGACATTAAAAAAGTGCAATACACACACAGATAGACAGACAGAGAAATGAGAATGAGAGAAAAAACAAAAAAACAAAAAAATCCAATTCAATATGAAATTCGTACCAAAAATGGATATAATTTTTCGTTTGTTTTGTTTTGTTTCCCCAAAGAAATTACTTTTTTTGGTTGATTGATTGAATTTTTCAATTTTTTAAAAAATTTTCTTCGTTTCTTTGGGTTTTTTTTTGTTCTTCTTCGTTTTGTTTAATCCAATATGATTTTTAAATGTTTGAATAAAAAACATTTCAATTATAACATGTTTCCATGTTTTCTAGTCATCATAATGATTATGGTTAGTGTTATTGGTATTTATGTATGTTTTTGTATGTTTAAAATGATAATTTTTTTCTTCAAAACAAAATTAGCCAATCAATTTTCTGGATGCAGATCCAGAAATGTTATTAACATCAACAACAACAACAGATCAACAACAATCACGTGATTCACCATTATTACGAAGTAGAAAACGTATTTCCGATCATTCGATAGAAAATTTAAGAAATGAAAATATTGGTAGCAGTTTAATAATGGTTCCAATGGTTAATATTCAAAATAATAATCAGGATTTAATTACGGATCGTGTACGAAGTAAGTTTTCTTTTTTCCCATTTAACTAATAATGATGATATGATGATGATCTAATCTGATACATTTTTTTCCATTCATCAATAGTGAGTTTAGAATGTCGACCAAAATCAATGTTAATGTCGATGAATTTTTCCGAACCATTTCGTGGTGTTGTTAGTGTAGGAAAAAGTACCTATAATTCCTTTGAACAAAATCAAGAATGTGCATTACGTGGTGATGGACGTCATATATATTCATTACAAATTTTTCATAATCGTTGTCTAACACGATTTGATGTAAGTTTTTTTCGTTTTCTCTGTTTTCTGTTGAAAATTTTAATTAATAAACTTTGAAAATAATAATAATAATTACAGAAAAAACATGGCCAATTTATAAATACATTGTTTGTACGTTATCATCCAACATTGGAAACTGGTGGTGATTATTCAAAAACATTATTATGTAAATTTAGTCTTGCTAATTTTAGTGTTAATTAATTATAATTTAACTTTTATAAATAAAATTTTCAATCAACCAAAATCAAAAAATAAATTCGAAATATTCGCCATCTTTTGGTCAAAAATGAAAATTTTCAAAATTTTGAAAATTTAATCGAATTTTTTTCGTTTCATTTCTTCAATTGTTTTGTGAAATTCAAATTGAATTTTCCGGTTTTTTTTGTTGTTGTTTTGTTTTGTTTTACTTCACTGAGCAATATTTAAATGAAAAATATTGAATGAAAATAATTTTTAGAATATTTTATTTGAGCGTTTTAAATCCAAAGTGTTTGTTTGTATCATTTTTATTTTGATTTTTTTAAATTCTGTCCATTATATCCCACTCATTGGCTTATTCGATAAAATCTTTGGTATTTGGACGCTTTACAAAGTTTTGTTTTGTTTTTTTTTTATAAAGTAAAATAAAAATATCTAAAAAAATAACAGAATGGGCTGTGCTAATACGAAAAGTAGTAAGTATTCAATTCATTTAGATTATCTATTTCTTTTATGATGAATAATGTTTTTTTTCTTTGGAAATTAATCAGCAAAAAAATCACAACAAAAATCACAAAAATCACAAAGAACTGGTGAACAGATTTTATCTAAACAGATGCCAGCATCACAAATTGCACCAATATCAAATGTTGATTCGAAATTTTGTTCGAAAATTGTTCAACAACCAAATTCACAAATGCAAAAAAATATTCTTGCCGGTAGTATGGCTTCGAATGTTTTAAGCAGTCAAATACAACCATCACAATTTGATTCAAAATATGATGGTGGTTCAGTAGTATCAACATTAAGTTCACAAGGTGGTAGTTCAGTATTGGGCAGTCAACTTAATCCAAGTGATTATCAATCATCGGCATTAGGTGGTTCAGTAATTGGAAGTTCAGGAGTTGGTAGTTCAGCAATTAGTTCATCCGGAGCATCAACACCATATTCAACAATATCACAAACAGGTGGATCATCATTATCTGGTGCATCATATGGTGGTTCATCATTTGCACCTGGTTCTTCATATGCAGGCAGTAATGTTTCAACATATTCAAATATGTCTAACGTAAAAGGCAGTAGCGCTATATCCGGTGTGAGTAAACCTGGTGATAGCTATTTTTCGGGTGTTTCGGGTGCATCGGGTGTATCAGGCGTATCGGGAATTTCGGGAGTTTCTGGTGTGTCAGGTGCATCTGGTGTATCAGGCGTATCGGGAATTTCTGGTGTATCAGGCGTATCAGGCGTATCAGGTGTTTCTGGTGTATCCGGTGTATCTGGTGTATCTGGTGTATCCGGTGTATCTGGTGTATCTGGCGTATCTAATGCATCAAGTTATGCTGATTCAAAATTTTCATCAGCAGTTTCTAAAGGTGGTGATCCAATCAGTATTTCAATTGCAATATCAAAAGGATCACCGCGTGATAAAAAGGGTCAAAAGCTTTATACACCAAGTCAAATTTTTACAAAATTTTTGGATGAAAAGAAAGGTGGTAAACATGGACCAAAAACTGCTAAGCAACAGATAGCAAAATTTTCTAAAGTTTAAACAAACAAAAAAAACAACAAAGAAAAGAAGAAGAATCATTTTCATTATTTTTTGTTTTTTTCTTTTCTTTTTACTAAATTGATAACCAACCAACTACTATAACAACACACAACATCAAACAAAACAAAAGAAAACCGATAGAAATTAAATTGCATGAAAATGTCGATTACACCATGATGTGTTCAATCAATTTTAATTAGCGCGCGCACAATTTTAAAAACAAAAAATTATGGAAATCCCATTTAGATTGAACATTTCAATGGAAATGATTTTGTTTTGTTTTTTCAATTTTTTAATTTTTTAACAAAATTTAAATCCATTAATCGATTAATGAAGAGGTTTTTTTCTGATAATGAATTTCCTGCATTAAGAATTGTCGAGACAAAAGAGAGAAGAGTGTCGTTAGCCTTGAAAATATTAATTTGGTTGATTAATGAATGTTTTTTTTTCTCATATTGATTATTACAATAATCATTTGCAATTATTATTGTTTGTTTTGTTGAAATTTCATAATTGTCATAAATGGATCTTTGTCTAATTTGATTCGAGTTTAGTTGTTTAGTTTGGTCGTCTGTCTGTGATTGTCGATTGTGCAGATGAATTTCCAATGAATTGAGAATGTTTTTTCAAAGAAATCAAAATTTATCATTGATAATGATGATTCGATTCATGTTGTTGATGATTTGGATGTTTTATAATCATCCGAATATTGTCAATGCTTATCCAAATCAATATGATGATGATCAAACATTAATATCAATACCTGAATATCATCATATTATTATTGAAGAAAATGAAGATGTAAAATTGATTGAAAAACGTGATTTTTTCAATGGAATACAAAGGAATCGAGATTTTAATCGATTCGATAATAATCGAAGACAATTTTTTGATAAAAATAATAATTTCGATAATAATGATGACGATGATGAACGAATTAATCGATTCGAAAATAATGATGGTAAAAAAATAATTCCAACAGGACAATGCCGAACCAATGATGGTTTTATGGGTGTTTGTTGGCCAAGTGGATTATGTCATTATCAATATGGTAATGTACGATATTCATCAAAACAATCATGTCGTACATTAGTTAATGGTAAAAATGTTCAAGGTGTTTGTTGTCCATTAGATGTTGATTATACACCAAATTCTCGTGATAGTATGTTTTTTTTTGATTATTTAAATTTAATTTTAATCTCAAAAACAAAAAATTTCCATATAGGAATACCATATCGATTAACAAAACCAAGATTACCACGTGAATCGATTCGAATCACACGCAACGAATTTCTTCGTGCAATTCAACAAGCTGATGCTGATATTACAAGATATTTAGTATTGGAAGAAAAATTTACAGGTGAATTAGGTCAAGTACAAATAGCATTTACACCGGCTTTCTTTTTGCAAATGATGTTTGGTCCGGCCGATCAAAATCAACAGCTAACAAATTTATGGGGATTTCGTGCACTACAACTTACAAGAGCATTAGGTGAAAATCTAAATCTTTCACCAAAACAGTTACGTGATGGATTATCATCGATATCGATGTACGGTACACCATATGAACAATATTGTTTAAAAATACCCGATTGTGATGAACGTTATCCATATCGTACTATTGATGGTAGTTGTAATAATATTCGTAATCCATTATGGGGAAAATCATTAACACAATTCGAACGTTTATTACCACCAGAATATAGTGATGGTATTAGTGAATTAAGAATTTCAATAAATGGTCGACCATTACCACCACCACGTGCTATTTCAACCGGGGTATGTTTATTTGAATTTTCTTTTTCTTCATCGACCATTTTTTTTTTGCTTAAACAAAAAAAGGTTTTTGAAACATCTGGCCAAAATGATGCACGTTTTTCCGATCGTTGGAATGTAATGTTTATGCAATGGGGACAATTTCTTGATCATGATATTACACTTGGTTCTTCAACTCGTGGTAAGTTTTTTTTTTTTTTTGTTATCATGGAAAAAAAACGATCAAATAATAATAAATTTTTTCAATTCAAAAAAAAGCTTCAAATGGACAAGGTTTATTATGTTGTAATCGTACAAATGAACAAGGTCCATTATTACATCCTGCTTGTCGTCCAATATATTTACCGGTTGATGATCCATATTATAGTCGTTTTAATCGTCATTGTAATAATTTTGTTCGTAATGCTGTTGGACCGAAAAATTCCTGTAATCTTGGTTCGTGTAATTAAAATTCTATAATCATAATAATAATGAAATATATTGTTTCAATATAAGGATATCGTGAACAAACAAATACTGTTACATCATTTATTGATGCATCAATGATTTATGGAAATGATTTTAATCGTTCACGTTTAGTACGATCATTTCGTAATGGTCATTTAAAAATTAGAAAAATTAATAATAATGAATGGTTACCATTTGATACTATGAATAATTCTTTAGCATGTGCTATACGTAATCGACAAGATAATAATCGTTGTGTTTTTGCCGGTGATGTACGTGTCAATCAACAATTTGGTATTACATCATTACAGTTATTGTTTTTAAGGTATATCTTTTAATGCAATTTTTAAAAATTTTTACTTTGAAAAATATCTAATTTCAGAGAACATAATCGTTTAGCAAAACAATTGGCTAAATTAAATTCAGCTTGGGATGATGAAATTATCTATCAAGAAGCAAGAAAAATTGTTTCAGCTGAAATGCAACATATTACCTATAATGAATTTTTACCCGAAGCATTAGGTCGTAATGTAATACGTCATTATGGATTATCATTACAACCGAAAGGTCATTGTCTTGCATATGATCGGGATTTAAATCCATCCATATTGAATGAATTTGGTGCTGCTGCATTTCGTTGGCATACATTGGTGCAAAAATATTATCATATGATTAATGGAAATAATCATATTCAACAACGTTATGAAATGAATCGTATATTTAATAATCCAACATTTCTTTATCCGAATGGTTCATTAGATCAAGCAATACGTGGTATTTTAAAACAACCAACCGAACGTTTTGATAGAATTTTTACTGAAGATGTATGTAAATTAATTAGTAGATATTTACTTTGAATGAATCGGATTGTTTAATTGCTATTTTATAGATAAAAAATTTATTATTCGCACAACAAACAAGAACAAATAATAATCAACGTGTTGGTATGGATCTAATATCGATCAATATACAACGTGGTCGTGATCATGGTATACCCACATATAATCAAATTCGTCAACTTTGTGGTCTACAATTGATTAGAAATTTTCAACAATTACGATCATTATTAAGAAATCCAGATGATTGGCAACGTTTATCACAAATTTATTCGTATGTTTTCTTTTTAAAAAAATTTTTTTCTGAAAACCCAATACACATGTCTATTTACACAGTCACGTAGATGATATTGATTTTTGGGTAGCTGGAAATCTTGAACAACCATTACAGGAAGGTATACTTGGACCAACATTTAGCTGTATTGTTGGTGAACAATTTCGTCGTCTTAAATGTATGTAATCTATTTAATGAACAAAACAGGACATCAAGCAATGTTCAATCTCTCTATATGATTTCAATCCCCCCCCCCGAAAAAAACAACAACAACAAAAAAGACGGTGATCGATATTGGTATGAAAATGGTCAAATGCAACATTCATTTACTATTGGTAAATGTTTTTTTTTTGCTCTTTCGAATTATAAATTAGCCACTATTTTTTTTCTTATATTTAATTTCTTCATCAAAACAGAACAACTAACAGAATTACGTAAAATAACATTAGCCAGAATTATTTGTGATAATTCGGATAGAATACATCGTATACAGCCATTAGCAATGGTTACCATATCAAAACAGTTAAGTTTGTTTGTTTGTTTTTTCTTTTAAGTAAATATCATTTGTTTCTTCTTCTTCTTCTTCTGTTTTCATATCAAGATGTTTTATGATTAATATATATATTGGCTAATAATGCCCTGAAACGATATTTATTTATTTTTTCATTATCGAAAAACCAAAATTATTAATGATTTTTTCCCCTTCTTGCTTTTATAGAAATCCAGAATTGGATTGTTCATCAATTCCACGAATAGATCTGAAACCATGGAAAATTAATGTAAATCGTGGAGGTGGTGGTGGCGGTAGAAACAGTAATTCAAAAGTAATTGATCGTAAAATACAACGAAATCAATCGAATCGAAAAAGAAAACAAAATCGACGATTCAATGGGCAATTACGAACAATTACAAAATACGATTACAATGATGATGATCGTAAAATTTTTATTAGGCCAAAATTTAGACAACAATTTTATAATCATCATTATCAACAACAACAAACCAACATACCATATCCATTCAATTCTATTTTCTAAACAACAACGATATTCAAAATGTTTTTTTTTGATTGTTGAAAAAATTGAAAAGTTTGAAATAAATCATTTGGGAATTTTATAAACGATTACGATGATGATGATTTAGTAGTAATAGACAAACAAACAAACGACAAAATTCATTGGAAAACAAATAATAAATAAATAACAGAATTTATACCAGATAATAAATTTAGTACCGAGCATTTGTTGTTATTGTTGATAAATCCTTTTCCTCTATTAAAATAGGAATATCTGTTAAGTTCAGTTTACAAATCTTTCAAACAAATTGATTAGATATTTATTTATTTTGAAATTCCTATATTTTTTTTTTTTTTTGAATGAATGGAGTCAGTTTTTCCCCAGTCAAATCAGCATGGATTTTTTTTTTGTTTACAATCGTCGATGATGATGATTTTTTTTCTGGGTGAAAAAAAACACATCTTTCAACATGATATCGTTTGAAGAAATATGAAATGCTACCACAAAAATATATTTGATCAATTGATTTCTTTTGATTTCTGATCAATCAGTAATCATCATCAAGATTTTTTTTTTGTTTTGTTTCTGTCGATATGAAATGATTTTCATTTTTGATCGATTTGTGATTGATTGATGTTGATGTTGATGATATGGGTTCAATCAATAAACGAATGAAACCAATGAAAAAATGAAAATGTGATAAACATCCATCAAACATGTGTGTTTCCTGATCATTCATTTCTATTCATTCATTCATTGCTGATTTTGTTTCTCGAAAGAAAGAAAAAAAATGATAAAAAACAATTTGAATTGAACATTACTTGATGTTTTGAGTTAGTGCGTGTTTCTATGTTGTTTTTTTCTCTTCTCTTGGTGATTGCGTTTTTTTTTTTTTTTTTTTTTTTTTTTTTTTAAAAAATTTTTCCAAAAAAAAAAAAAAAAAAAAAAAATTTAAAAAAAA